TAATTGTTCGATCTTCATTTAAAAAATTACATTAGAGTTTATTTGTACATTATCTTCAATTTGCAATGAGTGACATTATTAGTATAAGTGTTGTTATTTGCTTATTTAAAAAGACAAATAACACAAATAAATATCATCCAAAATAATTTAGTATCATCGTTGTTTTTATGAGCAATAGAATTATTTTCTTACTGTTATATTATAAATAAATTACAATGTTTAAATTAGTTTGTGTAAATCTGAATGTTCCCCAAATTTAAAATTATAAACTTGTTGTGAAAAACAAAAAACTTTTTAAAATTTTACAAAAATAATCAGTCTTTTAACGTTATCTAGTCTCAAATGTTATTTGGTACCTTTTGGATCATAAAGATTGGAATATTTCGGGAAGCAGTCCCAAAAACTTATCCCAATTGTTTCGGGTTTTTTCACGTTTACCTAATGCCTAATGTTTAGACAAAATTAAAGCTATTTTGCCCACCAGATAACGTTTGAGACAAGATAATGTTAAAAGACTGGCTCTAATTTAAAAGAGGTTGTTGTTCATTTGCGAATTTACAAATTGTTTATTAAATTTCAACATTTGTAATATTTATTAAACTTGTTAAAATATAGAATTATTAATGATCGAATAAATCATATAATTGGATTTTATAAATCTTAATTTGTTTTGTTGTTTTAGTTATAATTGCTATTTTGTATCACCATACCATAAAATATTAATAATCATTTATATTTTTATAAATTGTTTTCGAAAAATAAAATAATTAAACTTCAAGTTGATTTTTATTTCCATTTGCTCGGTTTTTGATTATTTATATGACAACGTTTTCACAGAAAAACTATTTAAAAATATTTTAAAGTTTTTCTTTTCAGCATTTTTTATTATAACTATTGTATGGATTTTTCTTCAAATGACTATTATTTATAGTAAACGATGTGTCGTTTTTGTGTTCATTATCGGGAAATTAAAAACATTATCTTTTTAACATTTTCATTCTTTTGTAACTTACAGTAAATATTCTATCATTGAGTAATTTTGACCAATAAAAGTGGCTTACACAGAGATAGAATAAACAATTAGATGATTTAAAAAATAATTACAACATTATTTCCTATTTTTGGTTACACATGTCAAAATTGTTTATCAATAAAAAACAAAAATATATTTTAGTATTTTTAAAAGGCGATTGTGTTATGAGTTTTATTATTTTTTATTAATTTTTGCCAGAAAGAAACTCGATTTTTTTTTCTTAAATAAATATCATTTACATTAAATTGATATGTATTTTAACACAAATAAAATGTACAATTTATAAGTTGTTAATACACTTTTCATTAAATTTAATGTTGATAAACTAATAAAAAATTTAATGTTACTTTTTATGAAAAATTTGATACTCGTTTCGTAAAAAACATGTTATGTATATGTATTATAATCAATGGTTAAGTTTGTGTAATAATATTAATATATTGTTTTAATTTGCATTATGTATTTTTATAATTGAATGAAATGATTTTCGTGTTTTTGTGTTTTTTTCTAATAGTTTATATACTATATATTATCAATTAAAAACAAATATTTTTTTGTCAAAAAGTCTATCGATCTTTTTCTAAGTTCATTTTTGTTGAAAAATTAACTGTATTATCGAACTATTGATTTTTATTAAAATATATTAACAATTGTAATAATTGTTTTTTTAACAAAGATATATTAATTAATTATTGAAAACAATTGTTAAAACATCTAATTTATCAAATATTATTGGATTAAATAAAAAAATTTGTTATTATTTTAGTGTTTGTTTCAAATAATTTTTGTTTAATGGAAACATAAAAATAAACAATATTTGCTTATAATACCGAATAGAATTATAATTACAAAAAACAACAATTAACTTTGATTTTAGTCCAAAAATTGGTAAAATTTTCGAAAATTTTTTTCATTTTTTTGTAAAAGTCTTATTTGAAAAAAAATTGTGTTTTTATGGGAAAGAGTTAACACTAGTTCCCTGTTTTTAAAATTAAAAATTCGGCAAAAACAAAAAACGCCTGACTGTGGGTATAGCCCAATGTATGACACAACAAACAGTGAAATAGTTCAATGTGCGAACAATTTGACAACAGGACAGTATTGGTGGTGTGGTTCAAATAATGAAAACATTATAAACAAGGATGGTTATTGTATTGTTCAAAACTGTGATGATGGAGTAGGTGGTTCAAAAGGAACAGCAGGGATTTGCAATCGATGTTCGAGTTCTTACCCATATTATTATGAAAACAATTGCCATGAATGCAGAAAAGGTTTTTATTACAACGGTACTGATTGTGATGGTTGTATGAATGGATGTATATATTGTTATAACGAAGATACGTGTGAAATGTGTTTGAATGGGTATTATTTTTATAATATGAAATGTCATGAATGTGAAATAAGACGATACACGACTATTGATGGGTGTGCGGATTGTATAAATGGTTGTGAGTCATGCATTTCTGGTGAAACGTGTGAAAGCTGTTATGTTGGTTTTTACAAATACAATGAAACTTGTTACGTTTGTCCAGAAGGATGTTCCACGTGTAATCTCTTGTTAGAACAAGTAGTTTGTATAACATGTTCGGTTGAATATTATTTAAATATGAACTCTTGTATAAAATGTAAAAATTGTTCTTCTTGTGACCAAAAAGGATGTTTTGGAAAAACATGTTTAGAAGGTTTTTATGGGAAACGAATATGGAATGTTGAACAACAGTACTATGAATATCAATGTATTGCATGTTTAGTTGAATGTTCTTCTTGTAGAGATACTACTTGCAGTAAATGTTTTGATGGGTATTACATTAAGGATAGTAAATGTTTAGAATGCGGAGGAAATTGTTCACAATGTAATTTAAACGTTTGTTTGGAATGTGTAACTGGGTTTTATTTTCAATTAGGAAATTGTGTAACGTGTCCTAACACTTGTTCTCTGTGTTCCACGACAAGTGCAGAGTGCACACAATGCCAGCAAAACTACGTGTTCCAAAATCCCAAAACCGCCGAATGTGAATCTTGTTCTTCTTTTGATACAAATTGCAAAACATGTGATTCAAGTTTTTTTAGAAGGTGTTATGAATGTCAAACTGGGTATTATCCTTCTCTAACTACTTACAAATGTACTAAATGTTCTTCAACTTGTGAATCGAATGGGTGTAACACGTATACAGGAGTATGTCAGACATGTGCTGACAATTACACAATAACATCAACTCCAGGCATAGAGTGTGGTTTATGTTCTGATTTTGATTCCAATTGCGAAATGTGCTCAAAAACAACAAGAAAATGCAACAAGTGTAAAGCTGGTTATTACCCACAAACTGTATATCCTTATAAATGTATTTTATGTGACATTACATGCAATGGTCAATGTGATGCAATAACTGGATATTGTACTTCGTGTATTTCCGATTACGTCCTGACACTCAACAGAAATTCACTCAAATGTGAGTCGTGTCAAACATTTGAACCCAATTGCAAATCATGTGCTTTTAATGGGGAGAGAAAGTGTCTGACTTGTGTCAATAAGTACAAACCCGCAAGTAACGGGACTTGCATCAAATGTGATTCAACCTGTTTGGACAACTGTGATGGAACAAGTGGAATTTGTACCAAATGCGTGAGTGGCTATGTTCCTTATAACCCAACACAAACAACTTGTCAAGAATGTTCTAATTTCGACACAAAATGTATAAACTGTGCAACAAATAATACACGAATATGTAATGAATGTAAATTACCTTTTTATCCATCACAATCAGGACAAAATATTGGACAATGTATTGAATGCGACTCAACATGTGCCGATTGTGACACCACAAATGGTAACTGTAAAAAGTGTTCAACAGCAAATTGGGTTGTCACAGAACCGATATCAATACGATGTGAGATGTGTTCCACTTTTGATTCAAATTGTGAGATGTGTTCTAATGACTCAAGTCGTGTTTGTACAACATGTAAAAGCGGTCTTCGTCCAAACACAACAAGTGGGAAGTGTGTTGGGTGTGGGTTGCACTGTGCATCTGGCGCATGCAACCCAACGAGTGGGATTTGCAACCAGTGTGATACAAATTACGTGTTTCAAAGCACAAAGACTGACCAGTGTGAGAGCTGTTCGACATTTGAAGCCAACTGCATCACATGCGCATCAGACTCAACAAGGAAGTGCAGTGTCTGCAAGGCAGGGTATTACCCGAAGACATCTGGCGACTACAAGTGTCAGAGCTGTGATGCAACATGTGGTGGAAAGTGCGACACGACAACTGGAGTGTGTGCTGGGTGCACAAGTGGGTATGTGCCAACATTACCAATCACAAACAAATGTGTCACGTGCAGAACTTATGACACCAACTGTGTTGAGTGTGTTAGTGATAAGAGAGAGTGTGCAATATGTCAAAGTGGGATGTATCCAAACACAAATGGGACATGCACTCTGTGTGACGCAACATGTAATGGGCAATGCAACACATCAACTGGTGTCTGCACAGGCTGTACTACAAACCACGTCTTCACTGACCCACCAGGCAAAGTGTGTGTTGCTTGCAATTCATTTGACACAAACTGCATCACCTGTTCGCCAGATTTTTTAAGAAAGTGCAAAGTGTGTGCAATTGGGTTCTATCCAGATGAAACATCTGGCAAATGTGTTGCGTGTTCCACAATACCAGATTGCAACACGTGTTCGTCTGATGCAAAGAAGTGTTTGACGTGCAAAGATCCGTTTATTCAGAAGAGTGGTGGTTGTGAAAGCTGTCCGATTGGCGAATACAAGTTCAGCGAAACAACATGCTCAAAGTGTTACAACACAATCGACAATTGCAACACATGTGATACAATCGCTGTTGGCAAAGCAAGATGTAACTTGTGCATTTCCCCTTACGTTTTGAATGGCACAAAATGTGGATTGTGTCAATCGAATGAATACTTTGACAACACAACAGGCACCCCAAGTTGTGTTAAGAACAATATTAACTGTGACATTTTACAAAACAAAGAAAGCTGTCTGGACTGCAGTGACACTTTCTTTGTTTCCAACTCAAAATTTGTATCATCTGGTAGTTGTGAATCACCAACTTTAACTTCGTGTGACTGTTCAGACCAAATATCAATCAACTCAAAATGTACACCACAAATGGATCGCTGTAAATACCAGAAATCAGAGAAGGGTGTTTCGACGTGTATTACATGTGTTGATAATTTTATTCTGAACTACGGTGGTGTGTGTGAACAACAGAGTGTGTATGGGTTGGTGAGAAATGGAGTTGTTTTTGGTTGCAAAACGGGAACGTATTTGACAAATCAAAACACGTGTGACAGTTGTGTTGGATCAAATGCAGTGTGTGCAACTCAAAACAAGTATTTGACATGTGGTGATTTAAAAATCTTTGATGTACAACAGATGGCGTGCACCACCGATACGCAATGCAATTCAGTTGTCGATGGGCTGTGTTTCCAATGCAAAGAAAATGACATGGAAATTAGCAAAGGAAAGTGTTCGAAATGCGAGACTGAAAACTGTGATATCTGTGTTGGAGGAACGTGTCAAATATGCAAAGTGAATTACTTGATGTACAGCGCTAATCGGTGTGTAAACAAAGAACAAGTCAATTGTAAACGCACAAATCAGAGTGGGTGTGCGCAGTGTGAGGCTGGGTATTACCAAGTTGACACAAAGAACATTGAAGGCAAGTACGACTTCTGCACAAAAACGGATGTTGAGTTGCACTGCAAATACTACTCACTCAACACAACAAAATGCATTGAGTGCCAAGACGCATTCAAAATGAAAGATGGGATGTGTGCTGAACAATTTGACGATCTCAATAAAGTCAACGAAACAAAGACGTCAGTGTACAACATGAAAAGTGCACTGAAAACACAAGAAGAAGTCGACTGTTTGACACGAAACAACAAAGGGTGTCAGCGATGTCCAAATGGATATTACCTGAACAAAAACAGTTGTGAGAAGTGTGTGAATGACTGTTTGAGTTGCTACAATGCAACATATTGCACCACATGTAACAGTGGATACTTCCTTGACTTGTCTATGAAATGCCAAACACTTGGTGAATTGGCCAATAGGTGTGAAGTACCATTACCAACTGGTGGAGGGTGTGCTATTTGCAAAGTTGGGTATTTCAAAGTCGAGAAAGATTGTGATGCGTGTGACGAGTCGTGTGATATGTGTTTGAAGAAAGACGAGTGTTTGTCGTGTAAAGATGGCTACATCAAAATTGCAAGTGAATCAAACAAATTATGTTCATCAAACACTACACTCTCAAACTGTTTACAATCAAATCTCGAAGGGTGTATACTTTGTAATGAGTCTTTCTTTTTACAAAATGGACGCTGTTTCTCATGCAAAAAGAGTTGTGCGACCTGTGTAAACAGTGAAAAATGTTTATCGTGTGGAGTCGATAAAATTCTATTGAAAGGAAGTTGTGTCGATTATCGCACTGTAACACATTGTACATCAGCAGACAACTCGAAGTGTACTTCATGTGAAGGGAGTAACAAAGTCTCTGATGATGGTGAGAGTTGTGTTTCTAAGACGAATTATGGAATGGTTATTGGAATACCTGTTGCATTAATTTTTATCATGATATTCCTATTATTTTTACTTGTTTACTTAACACTGAGAATTCATCAAAAGCGTATTCAACACAAAGTTGATAAAAAAGTGTGTACATTTAATATGAAGCGATCTAATATTCCAATGTTTTCTTTATGTGATTCTCTTTGTACCAACAAAGAAATATTGAAATTTGATTTAGAAAATAACGAGTTTATTCCCGTTGACAAAGAGACGAGAGACTTAATATGTATTGGTAACACATCAAAACACAACATGAAAGTTCAACTGAGCGTGATGAATGGGTGCGATTATTACACAATCAGAAGTGAACCTTCTCTTGTTACACTCCACAAAGGTGAGGCTTGTGAGTTTGAGATCTTTATCACGCCACTGTGTTCATGTCAGATCAATGATAAAGTAGCAGTTATTGCACTTGATATCACAAATGGACAACAAATCACAACAAGTGTAACTGTTAATGTAACCACAGAACAATCAACAAAATTAAATTACAGAGAACTTGAAGAATTTAGTCAAATTGGTGAAGGTTCATTTGGTGTTGTATTCAAAGGAACATTCAGAGGTAATACAGTTGCAATTAAGAAGATGAAACTAAGTGGTGAAGAAGATGACAATGTAATGATAGAGTTTGAAAATGAGGTAAATATGTTGGATAAGTTCCGAAGTGAATATATCGTCCACTTCTATGGCGCTGTTTTCATTCCCAACAAAGTGTGTATGGTCACTGAATTTGCACAATATGGTTCTTTACAAGACTTAATTAAACACAAAAAGAGAGAAGACATTGATATAAAGTTGCGAATTAAAATGATGATAGATGCAGCAAAAGGTATTTTGTATTTGCATGAAAATGGGATATTACACAGAGACATCAAACCAGACAACATTTTGGTTATATCATTGAATATTGACGACAAAGTTATAGCAAAACTGACTGACTTTGGAAGTGCGAGAAATGTGAATCTGTTGATGACTAACATGACTTTCACAAAAGGTATTGGAACTCCAGTCTATATGGCGCCTGAAATACTTAAAAAAGACAAATACAAAAAGCCAGCAGATATCTACTCGTTTGGAGTGACTATGTATGAATGTATTGGGTGGTGTCAGGCATACTCTAAACATCAATTTAGATTTCCATGGAAAATAGCCGAGTTTGTGATTAATGGTAAACGAGTTGAAAAGAAAGATAATATGCCTCAAGAATTTTTTGATATCATTCAAAAGTGTTGGGCACAAGATATAAGTAAAAGAATCGATGCTACTACTATTGTTAATTTGTTTACTGACATCACTTTTAATTAACTTTTTACTTTCCACATTTTGATTTATCAATAAATTATTTTTTTCATATAAAAAATTTTACAGTGTTCATTGGTTTCAAATCGATAATATTTTTTAATAAATCGATTATGTTTTTATATATATCGACAGTATTTTTTATAGTTTATATTGTATTTAATGAATTATATTACTTTTAATGAAATAGACTGTGTTTTTTATAAATTATATAGCATTTAATGAAAGTGATTATATTTGTTATAAATTATATGGCATTTTTCTAATTTATACAACATTTTGAGTAAAATCAATAGTTTTTTCTAAAATATATAGGATTTTTGATAACTTATATAACTTTTGTTTGAAAATATTTTGCTTTTTTTACAAATTATTGGATATTCCCGAATATTAGGAATAAAAATACACATAATAAGTAAGTTATTATTTGTTAAAAATACTTAATATGTAACTATATTTATATTATTATATAACTACTATCATATAAAATGTTAATATTTCTTGAAGGGGCAACATTATAGGTTGTACAGGTTGCTCTTGCGAGGATAATGGTGCATTTTCATGATAGTCGTTTCTTGCTCCTGGATCTCTTCTGTCGATATAATCTAATTGCATGATATTATTTTTTGCCCGTTATTTAAATATACATAATTATGTTAAAAAATATCCTATTTGTGAAGAGGTTCTAAATAAGAATAGATTAAAACGTAGTTATATAATAGTATAAATATAGTTACATATTAAGTATTTTTAACAAATAATAACTTGCTTATTATGTGTATTTTTATTCCTAATATTCGGGAATATCTAATAATTTGTAAAAAAAGCAAAATATTTTCAAACAAAAGTTATATAAGTTATCAAAAATCCTATATATTTTAGAAAAAAACTATTGATTTTACTAAAAATGTTGTATAAATTAGAAAAATGCCATATAATTTATAACAAATATAATCACTTTCATCAAATGCTATATAATTTATAAAAAAAACAGTCTATTTCATTAAAAGTAATATAATTCATTAAATACAATATAAACTATAAAAAATACTGTCGATATATATAAAAACATAATCGATTTATTAAAAAATATTATCGATTTGAAACCAATGAACACTGTATCTGTTTTTTTTATTTATAACAACATTATAATTAAAAATAATAACTTTTATATTATTATCAATTATATAAAATATATTATATAATTGATAATATATTATCTATCAAATAAATATATATTGATATAAAGTATTATTAAATTATATCGAACAAAAAAATAATAAAGAATAAACATAAAATAATTAATAAAAACAACTATTAAAAATGCTGATCAATAATTCAAGTGTTTTTATTTGTTAAAATAATCATTATTTTATTATAATTTTATTTATTTTTATTTATTTTATAAATCAATTGTAGATAAATGGCATAGCATACGATTTGGTGTATAACATGATTTGCCAATTTTATAGTTTTAAAACTACATTTTAAAAGTAAAAAGAAAAGTAAAATAAAACACACGATTTTTGCGTTCTTTGCCAAAAATCTATTCATCACAAAAAAGGTGATACATTTATTCAAAAAATTAAAATCGAGAGGAGGTGATGATTGGGACTTTGAAATATCGCATTACAAACTTAAAAAACAATGAAACAGTTATTTTCAAACGCTCCATTTCTAATTTTCAAAGACGAACTCCCAAACGTGCAAATATATCTTCAAGAACAAAACACAAACACACCAATAAACACAAAGACGGATAACACGTGGAACTTTTCGTTGGAAACGAATGTACAGAAGACAAGTGAAAATTATACAGTCACTATGCAAAAATTGAACATGTCATATGACACACTGTATGCAGAATTGACTCAAAAAGAAGTGTACTTAAATGAAGCTAACACAACACTAAGTTTATTAAAAGACATCCAAAGTTCACTAGAGGACATCTGTATCAAAGAGCAATACAATGCAGAAGTAATCAAAAATGATTTAAACAATATCGTCGATGTGATGAAGAAGGAGGAAGTCAACAACTTCATGCTCGGCACCGAAGAGGAGAAGAACTCGAGCGAAGCCAAAGAAGCTTTTTTGCATCGGTCTGAGGAATTGGAGGCGATGAAGTCCGGCTCAAAACAGATGTCTCCGAAAACTTCAAAAAGCGACAAAAAGACGATCTTCTCAGTGATGAAAAAAATGGATATGAGCAAAGCAGAGCAAGATGATATTATCAAGAAGAACTTGACGCAGATGAGTGCATGGGCAAACTTACAGAAGTACAAACTCATATTTGACTCTTCAAAATATGAAACCCTGTCAAACGCTATATTCACTAATAAGATTTTTGGCTCGACAAACACTTACCTTTTATGTTTCGATGACTACGGAAGTGTATTTGGAGTGTTTCTCAAGAACGCTATTGATAAAATCGAGGACTTTGTGGTTGATGAAGAATTGTTTTTGTTCACATTCAAGAAAGGACCCTTTTCTTATTGCAAAAAGTGGGTACCCAATCGGGGAGAGGCGTGTGGTATTAAATTGAATAAGAGCGGCACTTCTTTGTTCCAAGTGGGGTGCGAGAGGGATAATCTCGTGATCGCAAAACCCTTTCTTCCCGAAAGCTATTGTTTCGAAGTTGATCAACACTTCGAAAATCTTGCACCACTCGAACTGAATGGGACGTGTTTCCCAAAAAGGTTTGTTGCCACCCGCATTTGTGTGTTACAATTTAAATAAGTTCCAACCCAAACATGATTCACGGCTTAAAATTAATTTAATATTTCCAATTCCTTGTTTCTATGTCTTGTTAAACCGTCGTTAGTTCTGACAAGTATTTTTGTAATGTTGTGTGTTAGTTATTTGTCATATTTTATCAAACTAGTTCTAAATGTATATTATTTTATAGTTTATATATAGTTTATATATAGTTCGTTTATAATTAAAACGATAATTGTTTGTTCATAACAAATGATATTCTATATACAAATCTCATTCTCGACTAACAATTATGAATAATAAGATAG